TGGATAATACAAGCTTGAGAGAATTGAGTTCTACATCTTTTCAAAGCTTGTGCTACAAACAGCTGGCATGGTGTGGCAGTATTTGCCATTCCTGCAAGAGCCCAGTCTATTGAAAATGCTTTACTGGCTTGTGAAAACTAGTGCTAGGTACTGAAAATGCAAAAACAAAGATCAATCCTGAGGAGACAGTGGAATATTTAAAAAGCAGTCTTTAAGATCAATAACAACCATAGGTCAGTGCTGTGGGATTACAGTAACACTAGGTACATCAGGTTGTAGTGCCCCTATTTGCAATATGCAAGAATTTACAACTCTCAAATCTTGTATTAAACTCCACTTGCCTGATCCTTTTGGTATTACAAACACAGAAGTATTCCACAGGTCAACAAATGGCTTAGGGTGACTTAATGGTAACTGTTCTTCTACTAATGTTAATAAGATCCTTTACTTCTCCTGAGTGGGAGGTCATTGAGAAATCCATTTTGTCTCTCCAGTTTTCCACTAAATTAGCAATCAAGAAATAGGCGGAGAAGTGCCAGTGGCCCCACTATAAATTTGACTCACATCCAATTCCAGATCCACCTTGTTTTATTAAAGGCTCAACTGGAAGTGTATAACCCTATAAGTTCTTACCCAGGCATTTGTTTCCTTGATATCCTATCTTAACCATCATCTTGTTAGCAAGTGATATGCACTTCTGAGGGGCAGAAATAACTAGGACAGAGCCCCCCTCTTTCATTAGGTCTCTGCCCCATAAATTTATGGGAATGGGTGCAATAAATGGTGTTATAATGCCTGTTTGTTCATCAGGGACCATATACAAAAGTGGTAGAGCATTTTGTGAGACAGATTGAGGGAAGCCTAAGCCTATCAGAGCTGTGGAGGCAGGTCTAGTCAGCTAAGCAGGTAGCCAAGACTGGCTATTGACCATAATGATATCAAGTCTTTTATTTGTCAGTCCAGTACAGAATTTTTCATTTAATTTAATAGTACAAGTAGGAGTATGAGCAGAAATATTGTAAGAAAAATAAATTTTCCTGCTTACATGCTTATGTTTATCAGACTCATATAAAGTGAGGAATGTAGGAAGCATGGCAGCAGAAGCATTATTTTCCAAATAGGATGTAGAGAACAAAGCTGAATGTGTGAGTAAATTGGAAAAGTTTTGCATTTCATTATAAATATCTTGCAAAAATGAATATAATTTGACTACCCATACTTTTTAAACACATTTATTTTTTCTCCAGCAGCCCATTGGGAGTCATGCTATCATGGTGATTTGGCTTTTATCCTTGTGTTTATATCAGGGCTCTTTTCCATTTCATATGCATCATTGTATAATCATTTAATCAGCACAGTTAGAGTATATTGTAATGATAACTGGCTGTTGATTTGCTTTTTTTCCTAAGTTATGTTGCAATGATGAGAGGATCACTTTCACTAGGTTATACATAGCTATTGTTTTAGCTACATGAAAGCTCTCACCTATTTTATCTCAAACTCTTATATTGAGTATACCCCCTTTGGCAAAGGAAAGATAGAATTTAGCTATGTGAATGAGTGATCTAAAAACTTGTTTCAATGGCATCTTGATGTCTGCATCATTTAATAACCTCATAATCACTAGGCTAAATTTTTTCTCTTCTGCAAATAAAGAATGTGTTTGCTCCATTATTAACCTTGATGATAGACTCTTAGAATAGATTCCTATTTGCTACTTGTATCATGAGCTGTATAATTAGTAAAATGCACCACTTTCCTTTAAATTGGTCACTCAAGGTCCAGTGGATTATCAACACCTTGATAGTGGTTGTGGCTTAAAGGTCATGTGTTCTGGTCATGTTTGGTGCCAAATATCAGGCACCTGGTAAAGAGCCTTCATTTTCTGTGCTAAGGATATGGAGAGAGGATATAAAAACAAAGACAAGTTTAGTAATATATGAGTGGCTGGGAAGTCAATGTCTCCAGATGGGTCCACCCAACACTCCAAAACAGCCACTATTTATTGGGTGTACACAGTGACAGGTGGGGCTAGTGAAAGATGTCAATTTGGCAGAAGTCTTAGATGCTTATGACTCAGTGGGCAAGTATAATCCTGGAATAACTCAAGAAATCATAGATGACCTTATGCTAAGAAGAATCTTACCTTGGAGTATAATCCTGGGATGATTTAAGAGGGTGCAAATGGTCTTATACTAAGAAGAGTCAATGGGAAATCTCAAATGGGTGGAACCAATAATCCTACACCTCCATTTTATCCCTTAGGGAAGTATGCAAAATTAGCCATTGTGAATTTAAGGTCCTCAACATGTCTGTCAACATAAGCTATTATGGGCCAGAGGTGGTGACTCATGCTTGCAATCCCAGCACTTGGGAGGCTGAGGCAGGAAGATCGTTGCCAGTTCAAAACCAGCCTGGGCTGCAAAGTGAGCTCAAGGGCATCCTGAACTGTATAATGAGACCCTGTCTCAAAAAGAAAAAAACAAAACAAAACAAAAATCGTAAGCTATTATGCACCAAAAGGCTTTGGTGTAAAATGAATGACTGCAGAATGCCAAAGCTATAAGTGACCACAATCCTCTCTTCACTATAAATTGCATTTTATCAACATAATGGAATCGTAAGGGTTAAGAACCAGAAACTTCAGATGATGATAGAACTTTCCTGATACTTCTGTTGTAAAAGGGACTATAACAAAAGTCCTGAACTTGATAGAGTGAATGTATTTATTACTTATTGGTGGTGAGTATCAAACTCAGGGCTAGGCAAGCTTTATAATACTAAGTGGAATCCCTAACCTGTGTAATCTATTTTTTATTGTTTGGGGAATCCAGTATTCTTTTTTTGTTGTTGTTTTTGGTACTGAGGATCTAACTCATGACCTCTCACTTGCCAGGCAGGCGCTTGTGCCACTGAGCTAAACCCCTGATCCCTAGGAATCCAGTATTATATATAACTAATCAAGAATAATGTAGTCCATCTATCCAATCATTTAACTATCTAGACATTTTTCCAACAGTTTGCTAAAGTATTTATTCCAAAATATCTGCTGAGCCAAAGCTTGTGCTAAACCCTAGATGTTCATAGAACTGTTAATTAGTTTTGGTTTTGTTTTTCTTCACTTGATTGTTTTGCTTTCGTTTTGGTTTTGCAGTGCTGGGCAATGGTAAACCCAGGGTTTTACATACTAGGTAAGCCCTTTTCTATTTTCCATTTTGAGACAGGGCCTCCATAATAACTAAGTTGCCCCACCTTAGCTTGAACCTGTAATCCTCCTGCCTCAGCTTCTCAGAGTGGTAGGAGTACAAGTGTGCACCACCACACTCAGCTTCAGTCAGTACCTTTCCTCATACCTGGCTTTTAAATATTGTAAAACCCAGGATATGGAATTCTATGCTTCTTAGTAAATATGTTTGGGAATCATAATCAGGTCATAAATTATAGCAAACTTTGAAATTTCTTCCATTAATCCAAAGTAAAGTTTCCCTTGGGAGCATTTCTCAGAACCTTATTTTGCTCCAAGACATCTTTATATTCCACATGCTTTATCTCAAACCAGACATGGAAAAGCAGTAGCTAGCTGTCTTCACAAACAAAGAAGTGCTCAGATTTCCATAAGCTGCATCTATAGTTGTGAGGTCCTTGCTGTGCATGTTGGAAAGTACATCTTTGTGACAAAGATATATATTCTGAGTTTCCTCACAGCAGGGGTCTCTAGCCCCAGGTAAGTAGACTGGTTTGGGTGCTGGCCTGTAGGAACAGGGCCACATAGCTGGCAGGTGATCACGGCTGTTCACTGTGGCTGGCACCATCTCCATCTCCTGTCAGATCAGCTTGCCACCAGACTCCTATAAGAGTGGTCCCTACTGTGAACTGCACATGCTGAGGATCTAGAGCCTTAAGAGGCTCTAATGCATGATGATCTGAGGTGGAGCTGAGGCAATGATGCTAGTGCTGGAGAATGCAGTTATTAGGTATTACAAACATAGATTATACTAAGTGAAAAATAATCTACTTCTTACATCTACCTTTTATCCACACACCCATGCATAGAAAAATTGTCTTCCATGAAACCAATCCTTGCTGCCAAAATGGTTGAGCCCTTCTACCTTAGAAGATGTTAGGAAACAAGTGTCCATCCCCTCTGCCCTGCAAGGACTAACAGTTTGTGCTGTTCTTACAGACACTGTGATTTGCCCTCTTTGACACAGATTTCTACTCTAATACTCTAGAGTTTCAGTAACTCTAAAATATCCAAAACAACTTGTTTCTGTGCCATGCAGGAACATCGTCTTCTGAGAGTAATAAAGGACAGGACCTTTATTCTGAAAGGAAATAAAGCACAATATCAAATTCTGAATATATTTATTCACATTTATATTTGTGGATGAAAAATGTTATGGCTTATATATGGATGTGTCCCCATTTGTAACTTTTGGAATGGAAATGTTTGTCTTGTGTCACTGAGTGTTGGAAATGTTCGGTTTTCTTTTCATTTTTGCAGGGGCTCACAGCTAGCAGTTTGCCTTAGATCTTAGAGGAGACTTGGGACTTGGACTTTTCAGTAATACTGAAACTGTTAAGATTTTGGTAAATCTTAAAATGGACTAAATGCCTTTTGCGTAAAGGTTGTGCATGAGTCTCTGGGGGGCTAGGAGCAAAATGGTTTATGTCTGGGTGTCCCCCCAAAGCTTCATGTAATCATGGCGAGGTGAGCTATTTAGAGGTGACTGAATCTAGGGTTTGTGATTGGTTCTTTGTCTAGTGTTGTGATTGGTGGTGTGAGTGCTGCACCCACCCCGGAGTGAGTAGCCTGCATACAATATAAGGGAGGGAAAGAGGCTTGCTCCTTCCTTTTGCCTGTTTTGCTCTTGTTGCTTTTACTGTCTTCCACAGTATGAACTGTTACCCTTTGCCATGTGTCACCCTGCCTTGCACCCAAAAGATTATAGACTGAAGCCTCCACAAACCGTGAGCTAAATAAACCTCTCCTTCCTTAATTTTGGGGATCGAGTATTTTATTTCAGCAATAAGAGAAAAGTAAGCAAGACAGAAAAATTTTTCCATGCTACAAAGTTTTGTTATAAACAATTATAAATAAATAATAGTTACAACTTCTATCTATTGTAAACAGAATTATAAACAAAAAATAGACAGATGCAACTCCTTTGGTATACACCAGACTTTGAAATTTTCTCTGTAATAAAACTATGAATGCTACCATTTTCCTTCCTTGGCAGTATTTTTTCGTTGAGGTGCCAACATTCATTGCCCATTGCTTTATACCTGTCTTACCAGTACAGGTTTGTAACATGCCAAAGAACTACAAACATTTACAACTAAAACACATTGTTTACCACTGGAGCTCATTTTCTTCATGGGTCAGAGATACCTTACAAGCAAAAAGGAAGCAAGATAACAAAACAATATGTGGTTGTGTATGTTTGTGTGCATGTGTGCGTATGTGTGTGTGTGTGTGTGTGTGTGTGTGTGTTCATAGCCAGGAATACTGAGTGGTATGAAAGACTTTTCACTATCTGGTCATCAGAATTACGTACAAGAGCCTTTGAGAATTCACTTAGCTAGCAGCATGGCAGTCATGGAGCTGGTTGTATTTAAAGACCAGATGAACAGGATTCTGGGATGCTGTTTCCAGTTGGGTTCCCCAGTTCATATGGTGCCAGCTGGTGATACTCAAATGTCACACGATTGATGTGTTTTCCACTGGAGACCATGCGCACCACAGAGTTGTCACAGCCAATCTTCATCTGGGCTATAATTGGTGAAAAAAGTTTCCCAGTAAGTTAGAGCCACATAAACCATCCCCACTGCCTCACTAATTTAAACACAAGGAAAGCAAGGGGCTTTATAATACTTTGGGTTTAATTTGTACTATAATATATAATTAATTCTAGAATCATGAAATTGAACTTAGCCTTTCTCTGCAAGTGAGAAGTGAGAATAAAACAAATACATCTGAAAAAAGACTGGAGATGTCTCCTGCTTGAAAGGACTAGGTAGGAAAGAGGACGGAGGTGACTGGCCAATCTGCACATGAGCTTTAGTTCAGTGCTCATGTTGGGGTCAGCACTGTCCTCTAGATATAGGTTGGAAATTTGCAAGGCATTTTTTTGTCATGATATCTGGGGTACTAAGTGGCAGTTAGTGGGCAAGGTCTACAGGTCAGAATATACTCCTTGGTGTTTATGGAGGTGAAATCATATGTTTCTTATTTTCTGAATCTAGAAGATAATTCTACTTCACATATAAAAAATCATTTGCATGGTAAAGCTGTACACTGAATATACTTGTCTCTGTTTTACCATCCACCTGCGCCTTTTTGCTCTCATTTTTTCAGGTACGTCTCACAGGAAGCAGCTTCTAATACTTGTTTTCATTATATGTCCAGTGTTTCCATTATCAGTATAGGTATCTGAGAGCTGTTTTATCTCTTCTTGTGCAGGTCTATCCAAGAAGTTATATATAGAAAGTCACAATATTTTTATTAAAAGTAACATTCCTTTTACTTTTCCAATCTCAAGCCAGTGTTTGTGGCAAGATTTACCTGCCTTATAATAATCCTTTCTGCTGTCTTACTTTTTTGTCTTTTCCCCTCACTCCATAAATCATTTCTAAATTCTGAGAGATATCAGCATCATCTTTTGAAACAAGTACTTTGCAGACCATATACCTGGACTCTAATGAAATAAAACAATTCAAGAATACTAATCTGAGAATATAATAAATGCAATCCTTATCATTGCTTTAATATGAGAACCAAGGAGCCTGGGTTAACATCTTCCAGGAAGGGCAAATTTCTTTAAACAATTTAGAAGGTCATTCTTTTTCTGATCTTACTCTGAACTTTATTTATATAGCATACTCTATTTCCTTTAGTTAATGTGTATATTCATTATGATGTTTATATACTTCTAATAAAATTCACTTTAAGAGGCAGGGTCCCTAGTAGTTCTATATTATTTTTAACCTAGGAAAAGATCACTGAACCAGAGCAGATGAAAGAAAAACTCTAAAGTCAATCAAAGAGTGATTCATCTCAAATGGGGGCACATGCCTGTAATCCTATCACTCAGGAGGCTGAGGCAGGAGGGCTGCCTCCAGATTGAGGTCATCCTGAGCTACATAGTGAGTTCAAGGACACCCTGAACTACTTAGTAAGACCCTGTCTCAAAAGAAAAACTCTCAAAATTGATTCTAGTTATCTATGTAACGTAAGCAAAAGTAGTTTGTTTGTTTTTTTTAACCTTAGTCTCTTTTGCCTATTTCAAGTCATAATTCAAGCAGAAAAAATGACTTGGGCCTCAATTACGTAACTTGTGAGGAAACTTGTTCTTCCATCCCAACTAACCTTTCTTCCTCACTAGGCAGCTCCCTCCACAGCAAGGATACTAGCTGGAGGACATCGGGGTCCCAAGGCTCGAGACCAATTAGTATAAAAATCCAGTCTTCAGTAAAATGGGCTTTGCTTTTACTTTGCCGGGAAAGCTTGGGCCCAGTCCTGCCTGAAATCTCATCTGAAACTTTTTTCCTGCAGCAGTCCCAGGGAGGGCAAAGCACCCGTCAGCCTTAGTGCTCATCTGTGCATACCGATGCTATTTCAGAGGTGTTTTGTGCATCCGGGTTCTAGCATCAACTCAGAGACATGAAAGATTGGAAGGCTGACCTGGTTTTAATAAAATGAGGCACAGCTGATCAACACACTTGTCTGCTCTGCAGTTTCACCATCTACAGTCGGTGAGCAGTGTGTGGTGACAGCAGGGGCGGCACAAAAATTAACTGTGAGATTTGAGTGCTTTGTCTTCTGTCTTACTCGCATCTCTCTGAAGATAACCAGACTCCCACATCTGAAGTTCAGACAGATGAGCAACCCTCCTAGAAATGTTCTACGTCATCCACAAACACACTTGATGAGGTTGGTTTTGGGGTCAGGAATCCCCACCCCTCCTCACCCGCCTCAGCATGATCACATGGAAAATCCTCCCTGGCCCCTGACAAAGACGATCTCATGGCAGCTGTGTCCTAAGTCAGTGTTTTAATATTGGCCACCACTTTTAGGTCTCAGAATTAACATCTCAATCAAAATGGCCTCCACGAGAAGTTGGGGATATTCAGCTGTTTGGAGAAATTCACATAAATCTTACTACTTTGTGGTTTAATTACTATGAATAAGGCATACCTGGAAAAGTTATTTAGTTATTACTTCACTACAGTCCTATTAATCTGTGATTCTGAAAACTATTAGTTTTTCAGTTAGCAAATCCTGTGGTCTCCAGAGGATAAAAGCGGGATGGAAATAATGTAAAACATTGATCTTTTTCATTTAAGAACAACCTTAAATATACATTTACATTGCTTCACAGTTGTCTCTCAGTGTCAGATATTTTAACCAATTCTGATCCTGTGCATACTCTAATGTAAAAATCTCACATGAGCTTCACATATAAAATGGAAGTCTTTCCTGGTGGAACTTGTGTTCTAATGTATTAAAAATGGAAAGTGTTTCCTGTAAAGAAGTAATCTTGATAGGTACATAAGTAAAGTTGAAAATTGTCTCACCAGGGCCATGAAAGGGGTAACAGAGATCAGCTAAAGGCATCATCTTGGAGGGATCCAGGCCAGCTCCTCCCAGCAGCTCCACAAAGTCTCCGGTTCCCCCACAGCCTGCTGAGGGTTTCTAAGAGGGCAAGAGAGCACAGCGAGACATATTTAAACCAAGATGGCAGTCAGTCCATTTGCCCAGTAGTGGATGAGTGAATTCACTTAATCAGCCATCAATAATCCTGGCAGTGCCACTAAATTTAATATCTGGAACTCTGGAAATTAAAAAGCTTTTAAAAGAAAAAAAAACATAAAAGTTTCTTTCCTGAGTCAGTCAAGTAATCATTTTTTAAAACATGCTCATGTTTAAAAAAAAATAATTTGAGTTCAAAGGTGGGAATGATGAAACAGGAATCTGTAAACTTGATGTAAACTGTATGAAAATGGGACCTGAAGATGTTTTGCTTTTTGAATTGCTTGATGTACACACTGAAAGATTGAAATGTCTTAATACATGTTGGCAGAGCTAAACAAAGTCAATTATCTGCATTTTATACAGACAGCTTCAGCACAGGGTGTCCCTTGAATTTACCTCTTTTCCTATTCTTTATAAAGGACTTCATCTGCTCTTTGAAACACATGATTTCTACCAATAAAATTATTTCAAGTTACTCTATGTTAGTGTATGTGCTGTCAAGGTGAGCACATCAAACTACTTAGAAAACTGGATTCTAAACCCTCAGATCCACTGTCATCATTTTTCCTGCTTCACTTGGTCCTTTCCAGTCTTGTCCAGATAGTTCTGGGCTTCAGTTTCTGTCTAAGCTCACTTCACCAAGTTTCACCTCAGGTTCACCAAGCAGCCACCTTTATCCTCAGGGTCCTTCCGGAGAATAGGGCTGAATCACGGGCAGGCACACCCAGTGCCATGCTCAGGAGAACCCCAAGCTCTGCTTACTGCTTTGCCTCTGTCTTAAAACTCATAATTATTTGTTTAATAAAGCCCCCCAATTTTAATTTTGTACCATTCCCCATATTTCGAGTCACCAGTTTGCCCACCATTCTTTTCTCACTGAAGCACAGCCATCGGGAGACCCATGGGGGGCAACAGTGCTGGAAGTGAACCACACAGACCCTCATGCCTAGGAACCAAACTCTAAGCGCATGAGCATGTACACAAATTCACAGTCAGACAGGCACTGAAACACAAATGGAACTAACCCATAGATTAGAAAAAAAAAAAGTAATGAATGTTTTGGCTAATGAAGACAAACAAGACATCTATTTTTAAAGGTCCTACCATGTGCACAGTTCTATGCTTATATTACCCATAATTTTATCAAGTGATGAAACATTTAATTAGCTTCATTGTGCAAAAGGCTTCACGTTAATGAATTGAGAGTTAAACTATTTTGAGATGAAAGGGAAAAATATTTAATTGGCTTTCCTTTGAGTAGATGATGTCCAAGGGGAACATCTCTAAAGGTTGAAGTTTCCACTTGGTTCTTTAGGTTCAACTGTGATCAGGTGGTGTTGAAGGGAAACAACAGGCTCAAGAGAGAAATGGGAAATGCAGAAGTTGGGAAGAAATAAACACTTAATTGAAGAGACAAAAACAAACAAGGAAACCAGGCACACCTATTCCTAGATGTTCGATAACATCTCCCTCCTCTCTGGAAAACCCTGGAGTTTTCTTATAAATAAAGGCAAAAACAAGGTTGCATAGGGACCTCTCTGGGGTCCTCCTCAGCAGTAATCCCCTGGATATTCCTGTTAGGCTCTAAGGTGCCACTCTCTCCTGCTAGACGACAGCAATGTGCAGTTGAGCATCTAAATTCCTGCGCCACACCCTGCTCAGCATGTAAAACTGAGGTCTCCCTGGGTGGAACTCACATTCCAGTGTATTAGAGGTCTGTGGTATATAAGGAATAATCTTGAGTCACAGTAATATCAAACTCAGAGAGACGTCTGACAGAGCCATGGAAAGAGCAGCATGGCCTGAGCCCATCGGTTTACCATGTGGAAGCCAAGCGAGCTTGGACAGTACATCTGCATGTCACCTCCCAGCTGTCCCCTTCACCACTTCCCACCAGACTTAATAACAGGGACAGCAGGGTGCTCTCACTCAGCCCTTCTCCCTAAGCTTCTCACTCCTGTGCATGCCTTGCCTTCTGTCTGTTTCTGGAACCCAGCAAATCCACTGTTCCTTCCATGCCCTGTTCTGCCAGAGGTCTTGGTTGCTTCTGATCTGTCACTTATGTTTCACTTAAAATATCCCTTTCCAGAAAGTCTCTTTCCTCTACACCTTAGCCCAGTGGTCCCCGTCTTGACTCGGCCCAGTTGCTTGTTATACTATTCACCATTCTGGTGCATCTTCTACAGCACTTAGCATTGTTTGACATATGAGGCAATTTTGTCTGCCCCATTCCATGAGAGTGCAGGCTGTCAAGGGGGCAGGATCCATCTGACTGGCCGCTCAGTTCCACCACCTAGAATGGTCCTTTGCATACAAGAAGTACTAAAAAAAAAATCTTTTAAACGAATAGATGCCTAAAACACTAGAGACTCTTAATTGTCAAGGAGAAATACCAAATTCTTTTTCTTATAAACTCAATACCTAAAGAACAAATCTCCCAGTCTGCTATCACATCTCCTGTCTTCTGGGCTTTACAAAAATAATATGAAAAATATCACGTTGGACCAAAGGCACTGAAAGTCATCCTTATCAAAGGATTAGTTTTGCGCTAAGGTTAGCACTGACTTATTTAGGATTAGCGGAAATTGGATATACTTTCTTGTCTCCATCCTGGTCCTATTTATTTGACTTTCACTAAAATCTGATCAGGAAATATGACCACCTTTGATACTAGCAAACGTATGGGTTATCTTAGCCTAGGCAGATGAGCAAGAAAAGGAAATGAGGGTGACTCATGGGAAAGGCACTACCATGCCAGTAAATGTGTTCAAGTCCTGCTTTCATTTTAAGGTTATTCAGAAACGCCTTTAAAAGCAAGTTGATTGGGAGTCTCAACTAACATTTTTGAGGCAAAAGGTAGTGAATGAAATATGGTGCAAAATCTTTGAAACTTTACTGCCTTTTGCAATATAAAAGCACCCAATCTTACATTTTATGCTGTAGTTAACATCCCTCCCTACCATAGTCCTGTCTATGAGATGCTTCCTTCATGTCAAAAGAAGATTCCAATAATCAGAAAAGCAGCTGTGTAGATGACTCATGCTAGGTTCTGCTAGGAGAGAATTTTATAAAAGACTTGAGTATAAGAGAGTTCAATGGTAATTACATACCACAACTTTAGCCATTGAAAGCATTCCTTACATCACAAGCAAAGTATGGAAGCAGTCAGAATGGGCACCTGAGTGTGTGATTTGCAGCATAACTGAAATAGCAGGGGATTGGTAAAAGCAGCCAGGAAAAGCACACACGAGCGTTTAAAGCCTGGGGAACATGCTCCTCCAGTTTGCATCTGTTGCACTAAAGCTGTGGCCTCACCAAACACTCAGGAAGCAAGTAAGCCACTCACTTTTAACTGAAGACCATGCACATGTCCCAGGGTGAGATCTGATATTTTGATCGACACTGGATAAATGATGGAGAAGCTGCAGTTCCGATGCTGGCGAGGAATGACCAGGGTAAACCTTCCATTCGGTGTCTGAGAGATGACATTGCAAGCTTGGCAGAAACAAAGAGATTGCATTTGCATTATTAGGTTTGCTGCATTTTTACAGAAATTTATTGTGTCCTTACTCTAGCTTGCTGTTCATGAGCTAAGGGTCTTGCGCTGGGAAGAGAATATATATCACAATGACAATTAAAGAACAGAAGGAGTTGGAGAATAAAATACCATCAGAGGGTGCTGGGCTTCAAGGCTTCTAACTTTCATCTTAGGGTTTGCCTTGTTTATAACAATCACATGACATGGTTAGCCAGGCCAGCAGCCCTAGCTGGTGGTAGATTTAGGAGAATATCTGTTAATGAGAATCTGTGTCCAAGCTCGGAATCTGGACAATTGAGGTGAAGCCAGAACTCAAACTCTGACTAACTGTGTGGCACATGTCTGTAATGCCACATGTGGGAGACTGAGGCAGGAAGATCGCCACAAGTTTGAGGCCAGCCTGAACTACATAGTGGGACTCCACCCCCAAAACAAACAAACAACTTTGAAGCCTTCTTCAGAATTTGACCCATAATAGTTTTTAAATAATAAACAATTTTAAGTATTTTATAATAATGACACAATAGTTTGAAAAAAAGACAGCTTACTTAAATTGATAAATACATGTTCCTTTGTTGCTTGATGTTGACTAAAAGATAAATATTTAATATTTACTGTCAAGAATTTCTGAAATATTTTTATTTTGAATCTCACTTAAAATATATTTATTCTTCTAGCTAAGAAACAGAAGTATCAACATTTGCATTTTTATGATTATAGATCTAAAGATTCTGATTAATCAGAATAGGTTAGATCTACTTTTTGCCCCTTCCTTTATTTTTAATTACACTTACTTTCAAAAAAGAACTGAAATTCCTTGGTAAACTTTTTAATAGTTTTTTTAAAAGTAAAAATCAGAAGATTAGTAGTATATTATCCTTTGATAGATTAGGACATTTTCTTCAACTACTGGTATTAATAATACTAATTAGTAAATTATTAGTATTGATACTATATTAATATTTAATGTTATTATATTAACATTATAATGGTATTAGTATTAATACTATTATATTCAATCTAAAATGAGTGATGTACTTGCTTTTTCTGATTTTTAGAAAGTCTTTTTTTCTGAATGAGGAAAAATTAGCAAATGAACTTATTTTGATTAAAATAATGTGTGTTTTACATTCTGGGTGGTTGAGGTAAGAAGATCATAAGTTCCAGGCCAGCTTGGTCAATTTAGCTACTTACTGAGACCTTGTCTCAGACTAAAATATAAAAAGGGCTGGGATGTAGCACAGTGTGAAGGCTCAGCTTCAATACTCAGTACTACTAAAAGAAAAAAAAAAAGTACATGCTTTTGGCCTGGACTGACACTTCTCCCTCAGAAAAGAACTAGATTAGGTAGTGGGCTCCGCATCAAGGGCAGCCCACAGGTATTCTGGTTTGGTCTTCTGCTCAGTACAGGGCATTCATCCAGTGAATCTCAGACACACAGTGCCAGCTGTGTCCTCAGGGGCTAGTTGTAAGATCACAGCTTCCTATTTGATCCTTCAATCCTATCTTAGCTGAGTAAAGTGACTCAGGAGATTAAGGTTTTCTCCTTGAAAGCATCATAGTAACAGATCAAAAGACTTTGGAGAAAAAATAGAATTATAGCCACCATGAACTAGTTTACTATTCTAGCCTGGACAGTCCTAATAATGAACAGAGACTATCGTTTAGGATGCTTCTAATTACAAATGAATTTCCACTCAAATAATTTCTCAGCTCAAATTCCGTTAATCTTGTGAGTAATCACCACCATTGCAAAGGCGAGTTGAGCACCAAATCCTGTCCTTTGACTGAGAAGGCAGAGAGATCACTTACGAAAGAGGTTGGGATCTGTCTTTATGGTTACTGTGAATCCATTTCCTGGTTCATGGACCCGGAAGAGAATCATGGCCACATTCTGGGAGGATCTAATGCTCCTTGGGCTGAAACCACTCTCACAGAAGTCTGTGTACCGATCAGTGGTGGGGACAGGATGATCCTGGGAGCTGGGGAATTTCTCCCCCTTGAGGATCCAGCCATCGAATACCTTCCAAAAATAATAATAATACAATGTACGTGGTCACTGTCAACAGCTCCTGAAATCACAGTGTGCTGGAGGGGGAGGAAAGGTGTCATGCTAAGCCTTGGGCTGGAGTGAGATGTTGACAGCCCCTGCTCCTCCCCAGTTTTTCAGCTCTGTGTATTTTGACTGTCAGATTGCGAGTAATTCTTCTTCTGTAAAATAAGTAAACTTTCTTACACTCACTCTCCATATGCCATCTTCAGAAGAATCCAAACTTAACCTAATTTGAGGTTTGTTTAGCTCCTTTCTTTCCTTATAGTCATTGGAATGTGAACAAAATACCTCAGAAATAGGCAGTGAAAGAAAGAAACTGGAACCTTAACCCTATCTGGCAATGGTTGCAAACCCCATTCTTCACATTTTTACCTGCCATCCCTATTATTTTAGAACACGAAGGAGTGCTGGGGACGGCACTCTGGGCGGAGGGTCACCTCTGGGGCCATGCATGGGGGTTGGACAAAGAGCCAGTTAGTGGACCTTGCTCCCAGCATCACACAGGTCTCCGGGTTAATGAGTGCCACCTAATCCCCATTAGCAGAATGACCAAGACCCACACAAATTATTTCTAACACGCAGGCCAGGTTCCAAAACAGCTTGCCTCGAGGTTCCAATCCTGTTTTCCCTGAGCAGGAGAGGGCTCAGGCTGACCCTAACCTTCAGAGGAGGTGCTGTGAAGCTGGGCGCTTGTCTCCTCTCCGCTGTCAGTGTCCCCCTAGTAGCCAGTGCTTCAGGGCTCCAAACACACACCCTGCGACCAGACCCCCTCCGGTGTGGGCCAGAGCGGCTGGAGCCTCCCTCGGTGGAGTCCAGCGCTCCCGCGGGAGGCTTTGCATCGTATTTTGTTAGCCCTGGATTGGACTCTAGGGCATCGCGTTGCAAGTTTCAGCGTCTGGAAGTCCCAGAGGCGCCAGCCCTGCGAGATGTAGCGAGGGCTTTCTTGGGGTCGCGCCCTCGAGCCCCTGCGGAGGGCAGCACCTGGCTCTCACCAACCCCCCTCCACGACTGCACCCCCTGTCACGTCTCGGGCTGGCTCCTCACCTTCAGGAAGTCCCCGCGCGTGCAGTCGATGGACACCAGGTCGAAGCGGATGGACAGCAGCTCCTCTGCCTCGCCGATGAAGAAGGCGGCGCAGTGCAGCTGCGGCCGCGCAGCGGTGAACGTGAACTGGCCCGGCAGGCTCAGCATGTCCAGGCACCCTGGGGACGCGGAGCGGGGTCGGGGTGCAGGGATCCCCGCCCCCCGCTCCAGCTCTGCAGCCCGGGCTCCGCGCCCCGCGGCGCATACTCCCCGCTCCCCCAAAGAGGGGGCAAAACCGCCCCCGAGGACCCCCGCCGACCCTAGGACCCCAGGACCCAGGGATGCCACTCACGCAGCGCGCGGCGGTACTGCTGCTCCCCGGCCAGGTCCCGCTTCGGGCTGGCGCTGAAGAGCAGGAAGGGGTCGTAGTCCGCGGCATCTTGCAGCTGGCGAAGAAAATGGGTCAGTCCGGAAAGTTGAAGGAGTGGGTAGGAAAGTGGACCAGGCGCAGGGCAAAGTGAGCGGACAAGGAGTCCGTGTCCCGGGGCCCCTGAGCCTTCCCGTCATGCCAGGACCTCTCCCCGGGCGAAGGAAGGCAGGCGCGGTGTGCAGAGCGAGAAAGGCTAGGAAGGCGAAGCTTAGCAGGACCCAGCAGACAGCAAAGGGCTGCCCCATCGAGGCTGTGAACGGCGGCAGCCAGCCCACCCTCACCCTCACCCGAGGGCTGTGGCGGGTCGGTGCGGGGACCGCTCACCTCCAGGTACCGGCTGTCCCCTCTCAGAGCCGCCAGGACGAGGAGGACGAAGTGACACTGGAGTTTGTGGCTGGGTGGCATGCTGGCCTTCCTTCGTGCGCTGTGAGCTCTGCCCCCAGAACCGGGCTCTCCTTCCTGCACCTGCCCCGGCTGAGAGCCAGCAGCTGGTAGGGTCCCTTTGCTGGCTCCCTTTTATAGAGCGATAGGCTGGCGAGGCTCTCTGCCCCTTCACCGCAGGAGCTTAGTTACCATGGGTTACCCTGTCTCAGTGACAAAGTGCGTGGTGATGACGAGGGTCCAGCTCTGTCACAAATTTTCAGCGTGGCCCCGCATTATTCACCAAGAATGATATCAGCCTCTGCAACTTAGTGAACTAAAAGAGTAGGAGAAAGAATGAGGCACGGACAACGTCTGAGGCAGGACACTTCATTCCACCTGCCAAAAGCTACATTGTATTCTTCTGTGGACATTTGGACATTCCGGGAATTTTTAATTTTGCAAAGCACAGTGACAGTTACAATCATGCATAAAATACCAAAACATTATCATGCAGCCTTGTCACATAACCTTGAGGGGAATCATGCTGCAAAGTGTCAGTGTAGAACTCATGCAGTTGCTCTTGGTAAATAATTTGAGGCAATTTCAGCTCCAAAACTTGTACAGAAATCCGAGTCGTCTTGCAGAATGTTACAGTAATGCAATTACAAGCTTCCTTTCGGTCCCTTAATCTTTGCTTTGTCCTGGTCCCCTTTCTTATAAGTATTTCATTATGGAAAAGCTGACTCTCTGCAGTGTCTGCAGTGTCCATAGACTGGATTTCTGCTGAGCTCTAGTCCGTCTGAGCCACCAGAAGTGTCATCCATGCCAGGCAAACTCTTGGATTACTGTGACATGTTTGTAGCAAGAACTGCGGAAAGCTTTATGATCACTGCTTACAAGCAAGTGTATAAGCTGAATCTACTGGCTCAGGGATCAGGCATGAGGAAAACACAGGCTGATCGCCTGTGATGAAGAGAGAAGAGTATTGCTTCTGTTTGGATCCGGAATTGTGGTAAATAGGGAGATGCTAAGCTCTGGCTTCCCCACCCAACCAATGCAGGTGCTAAGCATTGTGACTAAAACTATCACACCGAACAGGGCCATGTCATAAGGTTTTCATGGAAGGAAATAGTTATTTAAATACTCAAAACTGACACTGATTTGCCTAGTGGTGTCAGAACTTGATATTTTCATACTCAAGGCAATTCTGAGCTCTGCAGGAGGTGCACACAGTTATTTAATCAAGAGGCCTCCCCACAGTCCAACTTCTGTAAACAGTCCTCAGAAGAGGACCTGAAGGTCAAACACTAGCCACCACCTCCTTCTGCCCAACCCTGCAACTGTTTAGATGTTGGAATTTTAGAAAGAGTGCAAAGAAACCTAAGTGGCAGAAAAGAGAAAAACAAATGCCTTTACCTCTTGCTTGGGCAGAGTATGAAAGTCTGTCTTCAGGTCCATCTCCCACCTAGTCTATGCCCAGAGCACATGACCCTCCCCAACCCCGCATTAGCCTTACCTCACCTTGCCTCAACACTGGGCAGCCTGCAGCGCAACCTTGAATTCGGAGACTTCTTTTCTCTTTCCGGGAGTCTGGCCCCTTGATCACCCTAGCTCAAGGCTTCATATTAGTACCACCAAGGAGACTGATCTCTAACCTGGCCTCACTCACACACACAAACCATGTCCCCAGTGCCTTTCATAGTGCTCCATTCTTGGGGACCACACACAGCCAGAGCTGGAATGAATGAGGGCAGACATAAGACTCACAGGCAGTGTCTGACAGCCTGACCGTCCACAGGAATACACAAGTGGAGCCTAAATGGACTTCATGCCTCCAAATCCTGGGTGAGGAAATGCAGATGGCATGTCTACCAGCTTGCAAATATCTACTAAACTAGTAGAAATTGCTTTTTTAAAAATTAAAGATAATTAAAGGATACAGTCTAGGACCCATGAAGAAAAACTAAAAAGATAGAATTGGAAGACAGAGAAGCCAGGTGGCCAATTCCATGAGCAAAAGAATTTAAAATGGGATTGGGAGGAGTTGAAATGCAAGAGGGATTTGGACTGGACAGAGAAAAAGGTTGTGGGTAACAAACATGCCTATGATTTGAAGACTCAGGATAAATTGCTTTCATGGACAGAAGATGATTAACTTAATATTTGAAAGTTGTTTATTCAGTAAAAGTAATTGGGTTCTGTTTTTTGTTTGTTTTGTTTTGTTCTTTTGAAACTTCTTTGGAGTAAACTCAACTCTTCTTTGGAGAAACTTCAAGATAACTGATTAGAAATTATCTATGAAAATTATCTATGTCCATTTCTTGAACATCTTTTACTTTTCTTCATATTTTTCTAGCCATTTTCTCCTGGCTAGGTGTTTTATAGTCCTCAGTAGGTGTTTTGGTTTCTGATCTATTGTTGGGAAGAGTTAAGGTTTTCTTCCTAGGGACCTAAGGTGGTTTTTTCTTTCACAGATCCTTGGAGCAGGCTGTCACCTGAAGATCAGGATGGCCTCATGGTTTCAGATCCAGACTCAATCTGTGAACATGGAGGAAGGGCAGGCAACATTTGAAATTGTGCCCAGACTGAAAAGATATGCAGGTAACTTGTAAGTAGCATAGAAAGAGACTTGTTGTGACCCTGAAAAGCATGTTCCAAAGTGTCCTGTGACAACCGAGCTCAAGCTTGTGACAGCTCTGCCCAAGTATATGCATGTAGGTGCCAGTATGGGCAAACCTTATATCTCTTCTTATTTCAGGATCCTGGGATCCAGTAAGTGTTCCCCACCTGTGCTCCTTCATTCCTCTCATTGAACATCACCAATACATCCTGAAAGAACTTCTTTTCATCTTCTCCTAACGTGTTAAGATGCTGGAAAATGAGACATTATAGTGAGAATTAAAGATGACTGAATAGAGCCCATCAGTTGGTTAACCACAACACAGCTGTTTCCGGTTGCTTTCCAGATGTCCTTTTTATTGTATTGTGGTAAGAAAACAACATGAAATCTAGTCTCTCAATTTAAGTGCACAATGATAGGCGCAATGTCATACAGCAGATCTCTAGAACTTAGAGACAGGAGTTACTCGTGTAACTGAAACTTTACACGGTTTGAATTTGTACCATTTTCCCCCTCCACTCAGCTCCTACCAACCACTCTTCTGCTCTCTGCTCCTATCAACTGGCTATTTTATACACCTCCCCCAAGGAGATTCCTGCAGTATTTATCCTCCTGTGGCTGGCTTATTTCACTTAGCATAATGTCTTCAGTTCAACCATGTTGCAGTATATGACAGAATTTCTTCCTTTTCATGCCATAGATAATACTTCATTGTATGTGGAACCACATTAAAAAAAAATCTATCTCTAGACATATAGGTTGTTCCCATATTGTGGCTACTGTGAATGCTACAATGAACATGGAGGAGTAGATATCTTTAGGATCGTATTTCCATTCTTGTGGATAAATAGCAGAAATGAGTTGCTGGGTCATATGTGATTCTATTTGTAATTTTTTCAGACTCCTAGTGTTTTCTGAAGCAGCTTTTCAACCCCCACAAACTCTGTGTAAGGATTCTTTTTTCTCCACATCCTCACCAACACATGTCAGCCTTCATTGTTTGGACATAGCCATACTAACTGATGTGAGGTATACCACTTTGTGGTTTTGGTTTACATTTCTGTGATAGTCAGTGATGTTAAGCTTAATGCATAGCTGTCGGCATCTTCTTGTTTGAGTCCTTTGCCCAATTTTTTAATCAAGGTGTTTTCATTTTTGTTGCTTTACTATTGAGATTTTATTTTGTTTGTTGACTTTGTTTGTTTAAAACAGGTTCTCATTATATAGCCCAGGCAGGATTGAACTTGTGACTCTCCTGTCTCAGCCTCCCAAGTGCTGGAATTACTGGTGTATACCATCATGCCAAGCTTTCTGGTGAGCTATAGGAGTCCCTTACACACTCTGGAAATCAACTCATTTCAGATATATGATCTACAAATGTTTTTTCCCATTCTATAAATTACCTTTTCACTCTATGGATGGTATGACCTTTGCCATAAGGAAAATTTTAATTTGATGTTGTTCTGTTTGTCTATTTTTTATTTTGTTGCATGTATTTTTGGTGTCATATCTGCACAATTGCCAAAACCAGTATCATGAATCTTTTATCTATGTTTTCTTTTAGAAGTTGTGTAGATTCAAGTCTTATATTAAAGTCTAATCCATTTTAAGTTTGTGTGTGGTGTAAGATAAGGATTTGATTTTTTGTATGTGGATATGCAATTCATCCAATACTATTTATTGAAAATACTACCCTTTCTTGTTGTATGTTTGTGGGTAGGGAGGCTGGAGGGTTGATGAGGCTTGATCCCAGGGCCTTGTGAATGCTGAACAGTCTCTATACCACTGAATTATACTGTAGCCCCTGTCCACTGTGTATTTTTAATATCCTTACTGAAGATGGGTTGACCATATATTTGTGAACTTATTTCTGGGTTCTTTGTTTGTTGGTCCATATGTCTCTCTTCCGGCCAGTATCATACAGTTTTAGTTAGCACAGTTTTGTAAAATATTTTGAAATCAGGAAGTACATAAAATGCCTTTTTGTTCTTTCTCAAAATTGTTTTTGGCTATTTGGGATTCTTTGTGGTTTCATATGAAGTTTAGAATATCTTTTATTTCTATAAAATAAGGATTTACATTGCAATTATTTTTATCAGATAAGATTGACTTTTCAGCTATATTTGAAATCAGGAAGATAAAAACTAAGCAATATTTTCTGGTGAACTGGAGTAAGTCTGCCTTTGAATAAGACCCTGGCATGCCAGCCACTTTTGAGCTATATGAAGATCAGCACTGGGTGAAAGCTAAGACTTTGGAGGATGCAGTTGGCTGACACCACACTCAAGCTTGAGCACCAAAGAGCAGCTGCTTTTCAAGACACGGGCTCCACTTCCCAAACACTTAAGCAGAAGATGGAAGATGAAGCCTCACGTGCTGCTCCTGAACCCATCTCTCTACCTGAAGCCCCTATAGTCATAACAAGGCCATGGCAATTCATAAGCTTTGCATGTCAGACACAGGAAAATGCCATAAACTAATATTTGCACCTCTCAGTCCCCAAAACCATGGAGGAGAGGCTCAGAGGCCAGAACATAGTATCTTGTCTTAGTCACTTGTCACTGGGACAAAATACCTTATACTCACCACTTAAAGGAGAAAAGGTTTATCTTGTGCTTTTGGTTTTTTGAAACAGAGTCTCACTGTGCAGTCTAGGCTGGCCTTGAACTCATTATGTAGTCCA